TAGCTTATTTATAATAAAAGGAAGGAATGATGAGAATGAGAACAAGAATGAGGTATGCAAGTAAACATCCGAACAATGATCATGACACTGCCCTCCCTTTTAGGCTCGAGCTTAATTAGCGAGAGCGGTGAGTGGGGCCCGGGCGATTTGGATACTCCGCATGAAAGTCACGAACAGAATCTTGCGCGTTCCATAAATTACTTGCAGGCTCCCATGTATTTTCAGCAGGGTTATCGTATCCCTTCCACTTGACCAAATATTGCAATCCACGATGACGAGTTCGGCTATCCAATATGCTTTCGACTTCGTAATGCTGTTCATCATTAACTTCGACTGGAGGTGGCGGTGCTTGAGTACGACCAGGTATATCCGGAAGGTCTTGAGATTGCTTTGACAGGAGACTCACATGGAAGACAGGGTGTATACGCATCGAACTTGGCAAGTTGAGGCGATAGGCATGTGAACCGACACGAGACACAACTTCAAAAGGGCCCAAATGAGTGTAATCATTCTTCCTCGAAGGCCGAGTGGTACGTATGTTGCGAGATGAGAGGAAAACTTGGTCACCAATATTAAAAGAAGGAGTAGGCCTGTGATGATTGTTGTATTGAGACGCTTGTTGACGTTGAGCCATCCTTATTTCATCCTTGAGCACCTCATGCAACTCTTGCAAGCTTTGTATCTTGAAACCCACATCATTTGAAGGCAAGACATCCGATACGCCAGGCGTTACTTGAAATACGGATGATCGAGGGTGGAAACCATAAGTGGCATGGAAAGGAGCGTGACGAGTCGAGGATTGTACAGCGTTGTTATAGCTAAACTCGGCAAAAGGTAATAAGGAGACCCAGTCGTCTTGCTGATAATTAACATAAGCCCGTAGATATTGTTCCAATATCCCATTTACGCGTTCGGTCTGCCCATCGGTTTGCGGATGAAAAGCTGTTGACATGCTTGACTTGATGGATAAGGATTGTAACAACGATTGCCAAAACGCCGATGTGAATATACTACCACGATCCGATATGATTTCAACAGGTAAGCCGTGTAGCCTGAATACTTCTTTGACAAATAGATCAGCAAGACCCGATGCATCGATTGAGTCAAGGCAAGGAATGAAATGAGCCATCTTTGTTAGACGATCCACCACGACCCAGATACAATTGTAGTGACTTGAGGTTGGCAATCCCGAAATAAAATCCATGCTAATAGAAAACCATGGGGTATCAGGAACTTGTAAGGGACTAAGATGACCTTGTTTTGCTTGACGATCGGCCTTGCTTCTTTTGCATGTTGGACAATTTGCTACGTAACGGTTCACGAAGCTGCGTAATCCTGGCCAATGAAAGGAACGAGAGACCAATTCGCTTGTTTTTGCTCGACCCAGATGGCCTGCGACTTGAGAGTCGTGATGTACTTGTAATACTTCTGTTTTCAATGAGTCATCCTCTGGGATGCAAATCCGTTTGTCCAAAAGTAATAGGTTCGTCTCATCATCGATGCTGTATCTGGACAATTTCTTCCTCATGTACGATGGAGCCGAATTAGGTGATTTGACCATGCTCTTCAAGTTCCTCAACTTTTCATCGTACATCATCGCCTCCTTGACCTTATTCATGAAAGCCGTGTCCAATGTATACGTCGTCGAAGCGTTGGCAATGATTTGATCATCCGAAAACATGGACTTGACGGGTTGTTTACCTCCCTCTTTAAGAAAAGCCATGTCCGAACGGCGAGAGAGGGCATCGGCTTTGGGGTTTTGAGAACCAGGTCGGTAAGTGATGACAAACCAATAAGAGCTTAATTGTAGTGACCATCGAGCTTGACGACGGCTGAGGTTCTTGCATGATTTGAAGTACTCAAGGTTCTTGTGGTCGGTAAAAACGGTGATTTGGTGTTTGGAGCCTTGTAGATAATGACGCCATACTTGAAAGCTATCGACAATAGCTAAGAGCTCTTTGTCGTAAATATCATAGTTGACCTCGCTATCATCAAGTTTTCGGCTGTAGAAAGCGATTGGATGTAAAATGCCTTGGCTATTTGGTTGATTTAGCACGCCAGCGATAGCAAAGTCTGATGCGTCGGTTTCCACTGTGATAGGTTGTGATGGATTGAAGTGCTGCAAGATCGGTGCTGTAGTGAAATGTCTCTTTAAGGACTTGAACGCTTCATCTTGTGTGGATGTCCATTCGAATTTTGTGTCCTTCTTGAGTAGCTTAGTGATAGGTGTGACCAACTTGGAATATTGATGTATAAAACGACGATAAAAGTTGGCGAAGCCTAAGAAGACTTGTATGTCATGCACCGATTTTGGGGTTGGCCAATCAAGAATACAGCGTACTTTCTGTTGATCCATCGATACACCCGAAACACCAATCCGGAATCCAAGGAAATCTACCTCTGATACATCGAATTCGCATTTTTCAGCTTTTGCGAATAGCCCGGCTTGATGCAATTTTTGTAGTACTTGTCGTACATGTGTATCATGCTCCTCTTGAGATTCGCTGTATATCAAAATGTCGTCAAGATATACGACAACAAAGCGATCAAGATACTCTCTAAGGACGTCGTTGATGAAAGATTGAAAGGTGCCAACTGCACCAGTTAGGCCAAAGGGTAGTACACGATACTCAAATTGCCCATATCTACATCGGAAGCTGGTCTTCCACTCTTCTCCGGGCGCAATGCGTATTCTATGGTAAGCATTTCGAATATCCAACTTGGTGAATACGCGTGCGGAGGCGAGTCGATCCATCATCTCATTGATCAAGGGCAAGGGGTATCTGCAAGGAGCCGTAATTTTGTTCAATCCACGATAATCCACACAAAGCCGTAGAGATCCATCCTTCTTTTTAACGAATAAGATAGGCGCAGCTGCAGGGCTCGAAGAAGGTTGGATGAAACCGTTGGCGAGGTTCTTTTTTAAGTACTCTGATAATACTTCCAATTCATCTTGGGACAAGGAATAAATAGGACCAAAAGGTGGACTTGTGTCAGGTTGCAATGGTATAGTGTGGTCGACTCCTGCGCGATGAGGAGGTAAGGTATCAGCTTCCTTTTCGCTGAAGACCTCTTTCAGATCCTGATACTTGAGCGGGATGACATCGAGGGGGGAAGTTTCATTGACAACAGCAGCCTCAGATAATGTAATAGTATGTATGCTCGCTGCGTGATAGGCTTCGGACGTATTGGCGATGAGGAATAATTGATCACCTTCAACAACGCATTCTTCGATATTGAGTGCATTTACCCATTGTATTTGAGGTTCCTCAATAGGTTGTGGAATCGCATCCACGACAGGTGGCGATACAAGGCATTGTTTAATACAATTGTCAGAAGGGAATGATACCCGTCTTTTTTCCCAATCGATACTAGGATTGTGATAAGATAACCATGGAATGCCTAATATTGCTGAGTAACGGCCTAGTGAGGTAACTTTGAATACGACTGCTTCCTGGTGTTGGCCCAAACGCATAGTGGTACAGCATTCATGTGTGACTAATCCGGAGCGGATTTGGCTGCCATCCACTGTGCTAACTTGTATTGGTCGTTGACTTTTGGTAATAGGAATGTGATTTGCTTTGATAAATGAGGCGTCCATGAAGTTTTCCATTGCCCCCGAATCGATCATAGCGTCTACTTGAATCGATCGTTCCCCAAAAATTAAGTCGGCAGAGATGTGTATAGGTGATAGTGGTCGTAATTGATTGACATTGATATTATAGTTGTCACAGATGGTAGTAGGACAGAGAGATTCGTTGACACAAATGTTGTTTTTATTATTAGCACCCAGAGAATACTCTCTCAAAGACTCTGGGTTTGTTCTTTTCCCTTCTTGTTGGGACAATTGGCTGCAGCATGACCCTCCTCGCCACAATACAAGCATAATCCAAGCTTCCGACGACGCGCCTTTTCCTCATTCGACAATGGTTTGTAGGCTTTCATAGCACCAATATCCATATCAGCCACCTCCGATGATTGAGATGTTGATGTACGAGGCAAAGGACGTGTATAAATAGTGCGAGATGATTGCTGCTGCTGATTGTATTTTGAAACAAAACGCCGCTTGCCATCGTGTTCACGCATTTTGTTATCCAAATCGATCACCTTATTGGCATAATCCCAGATCCTTGTTGGCATGTCTCTGGTAGCCAATTCACGACGAATGCGATCGTTTAAGCTTTTTCGATATATGGCAAGCAATGGCGAACTATCCCATCCAATACGCATAGCAAGCCGACGGAACTCCGCTGTGTGTTCTGATGCAGGCCGAGTGCCTTGTTTAAGATCAAGAATCTTATCCTCGGCATTCTCCAACTCATTGACTTCACCGAAAGCTGTCCTGAATTCATCCAAAAACAAAGGAAAGGATAGCATGCAAGGATTCACATCGGGCGTGTCCACGAACTCCAAAAAGGGTTGACACCACGTAAAAGCTGACCCAGTCATATAGGAGCACATGTACAGCACCTTGGTGAGATCATTCGGAAATTTTTTTGGATACATGAGAGTGACCAATTTCACGTGAGAGATGAAGTTGGCGACATCCTTGGTGACACCAGAGAACGTAGGAGGGTTGCCAATGCGCATGGTGGAAGTATTTGCAACAATACCCGGTTGTTGGTCATCATCAGGATCTCCGATATGCATACGCTGCATTGATTCGGAAACTTCTTAAGTTGACATGGCTGATAATTGAGATTCGTCTTGATGATTGGAATGTGATGATTCTTCCGACATGAAGTTAGATGAAAGTGTAGGCAACGGCAAATAGTCTGATTATAGTGTGATGGTTGCTAGGCAACAAGGCAAGGTTGATTGAAAGAGCAGGC